AAAATGACAAGAACTACTGCAGTGATGTATAATTTGTAAACTAATCTTTTTTTATTTAAATGAGGGAAACATAATCCATAAAGAAGCTATCATGAACAGGTAAGTTAATATCGCATAGTTGTTCATGACATTCTTTTACAAAACAAGCTCAGGGAACGACATCAAAGGGTGAACAATTGAAACCTCAAATACTGTGAGCTTCACCTTCTCCTCATTTTTACTCAAATGGTTTCTATTTTATTTTATTTTATTTTTTTGAAAATAAAGTCAAATTAACTAGCCACATTTCCTTTCTTTGGAAGAACACTACCAATGTATTATACATCTAAGAAATTATCACTAATGAATGCCAATTTCTGGTCTTGAACAATTTTCGGACAGGGCTCATTTTCTATGTGGAGGTTAAGTACATTTTTCACTTCAAAAACACACTTTGCAATTTCAATACCATCTGAATGAAATGACTATATCTGGTTATGACTCACATAACCTTGGTAAAATTATGTAGCAAATTACCTGCTGTTTTTCGGCTAGCTCAGAGGGAGCTCCTATGAGAAATCTAGGAATCACTTTTATTATGGTACTATATTATTTTTAACAACGCTTCTCCTCGTTTATTTTGACCTTCATCAAATACAGCAGTTCAGTTTGTAGCCCTAAAACCTGAAAAACAGTTAGCATTTTCAAACCATGGGTTCCCTAAGGAACTTGGTTTTCGATTTATGAGTAAAATAAGATCTGTATTAACTTCACATGAAGCGAATTTCTCATTTTACAAAATAAATTCCATAATCATGTGTACCTTGACTTTTGAAGAATTTTTAAAGTAAATAAAAAAAAATGGAAAGCCAGATCAAGGAAACTGTTAAAAATGGTCACTGTAGTGTCAGCATCAGGTACAATCATCACCTTAATTCATTTCTTCCCTTAATTATAAATATAATCTTGTTATTATATAATCACGAGTCTATTTTATTAGTTTAATGATGCACGCATCCAGAGTACAAGACCTTTTGTAATGTTTTGTGAAGCTCTTGTTTTATCCAGACTGAACTATTGCAATGCTCTCTTAGCAGGTCTTCCAGCCAATTCCATCAAACCTCTACAACTAATCTAGAATGTGGCTGCAAGTTTAGTCTTTAACGAGCCAAAAAGAGCGCGTATCACACCCAGGGATGGGCAATATTTCAGATACATGTATTTAAAATATGTATTTGAAATACAAAATACTAGTTCAAAAGGAAGCCTGGATGAATGAGTAATAGAATGTGATGGGCTTGGTGCAATTGCACTTATTATAAGTGTATATGTGTATGTCCTTTATACTTCTATGGCTCTCAATAGATTCAGTGGTTGGAGTTGGGGTAATACTCATTGACGATTTCTGTTGCTACTTTCTGATTACGTTTCTGGCTACATTTAAAATCAAAACATATTGATCATTTAATAAGTGTTGTAATGCTAAAATGTTTGTTTTCAGCTTCCAAATAGGTGTCCAGTGATTGATAAATAAGTATTTGATTTCTGAATATTGTACCCTAATTGAAGTAGCTGTTTAAATAGGATCATGATTTTACATACCATTGCATGAATGACTGCCTGACACATAATATATTATTATATTTATGACTAACGATCAAATGATTAAGTAGTTAGAAACTAGTTGCAATGAATACAGGTGCCATCAGTTGTCTTCTTATGAATGACTTGTTTGTCATTGAGTCAGTGCTGCTGATGCAAAGTAGGCCCTTCCTTACCAAACACCAAGTAACTAAATTAGGATACAATTATGAGTCATTCGCAAACTGTTAAACATTAAACTGTTGGTTACTTTAAAACTAACCTTCATCTGGGAAATCACAGGGATATGTGAATATTTGATCTGTTAACTGGTTGCATACGTCAGATTCATTGCATGACTCAGGCAGAGAAAAGCTGTTGCTATCAAACATTGTTCACTTGTTCACAAACATCAGTGTATTGGTGAAGAGATAGATCAAATAGGCCAATTGATGGAAGGTTTGTGAAGAAATTTCATGCTCCCTTGTAAAAGTATTTTTTATTTTTAAAATACAAAAATACAGTGGGTTATTTTGATACTTGGTGTGGCTGCTGTATTTTGTAGTTTATTTTGATACACTTAAAATGAAGGAATTTGTTTTTTTATTTTAAAATACATTTTGATGTATCTTTGCCCAACCCTGATCACACCCCTGTTCATCAATTTGCACTGGCTATAGCTGCTTGCATAAAATTCAAGGCATTGATGTTTGCCTTCAAAACCACCACTGGCTCTGCACCCCTTTACTAATTCACTACTTCAGTTATGTGCCCTCTAGAAGCTTGCATTCTGCAAGTGAACTGTGCATTATAGTGCCATCCCAAAGAGGCACAAAATCAGTTTCACAGACTTTTACATGAACTGTTCCCTCCTGGTGGAATGACCTGCCCAACTCAATCCAATCAGATGAGTCCTTATGGTGCGTTCAAGTCATGTCGGATAGATCGTATTTACAAGTTGAACGCACGTGAACGCCACCACAAAATCGTTATTACGAGTTGGAAACTCGAAATTTTATTTTAAGCCCTGAGTTTCCGAGTTGGGGGCGTGTCAATGAGAAACATGGCGGAATCGATGGATGCAACGTCTGCAGTTGACGGTAAATTTTTGTTTAAATTGGTAGTTTAGTTGTCCTATAAACTTAAACTGGTCATGTTCTTGTTACGCAGCTGAAATCCAAGTAAAAAAATGCAGACCCTGTTGTATTTTCTTGTAATTTATTAAACGTCGTAATTACGACTTGTCAACTCGTAAGTACGAACGTCCCAGGAGGACTTGAACGCAGCATTAGCCATCTTCTACAAACAGCTAAAAACACATCTCTTCCATCTTCATTTGACCCTCTAATTCTAGCACACTGTTCTAATTTTAAGAAGAAAAAAAAAAACTTGACACTCTTTTAACACTTGCACTCTCTATTCTATTTCTGTTCTTACTACTTCTTTAAAAAGAGAGAGCTTCTGACACTAGCATTCTCTATTCTTTTGACTTGTTTTATTTTTATTCAAAGACCATCTAACACTAGCGTTCCCTATTCTTTTTCTTTTCTATCTACATTTTTCTTATTAAAAAAAAAAAAAA